AACTAATTTGGCTGAACATTGTATGATTCTTAAATGTCTGCCTGAGTATGGTCCTAACTAAATCTCAAGAAGTACTTCAGGAAGGTCTAGAGACTATCAAAGGAGCCCAAGACCCTCCTGCTAGTTGATCAGGAAGCAAAATTAGAGGCAGAAATCAGAATCTTGGAAAGCAAAGGAATCATCAAAGCAGTCCAGTTTGTAGAATGGGCAGCACCAGTCATTCCGATTGTGAACTCGGACGGGTCGTAGCACCTTTGTGTGGATTTTAAACAAATGGTAAAACACTTCTCACAGGTGGATAAATATCCAATCCCTCGCAAAGAGGATGGTGAGGCAAGGCTGGCAGGTGTTTTTGTCCTTCACGATACTGGGCATGAGTCATGCTTATGTGATGTTGGTTGCATGATGAATCCCAAAAAGATGCAAAAATGAATGCTCATAAGCGTTTGTACCAATATACAAGACTATTATTTTGCACAATGTCAATTTGCCCAATTTTACAGTGTGTGACGGGAACATTTTAAAAGGTCTGCCCTATATTGCCAGTTATCTGGAACACGTGCTAATAACAGAGCAGACCAACAAAGAAACCTTCGAGAACTTTGACATAGTCCTTAGAAAATTTCTTCCAGGTAGGTGTACACATCAGAATGACACAATATCTGTTTCATGCATCCCAAGTGAAATCATTGGTCTACAGATCCTACAAAACTGGATTACATCTGTTGGAAGACAAACTGAAGGCGATCAAAGGTGTACCGTCTCCCATGCATGAGCTGGAGCTTAGGGGTTTCGTTGAGTTTGAGAATTATAATGGAAATTTCAAACATAACCTGGCCTCTATCCTGACACTTCTGCATCAACTCTTTAAAAGGTATCAACCTTGGGAATTGTTCGTGGAGCCAAGCTATATCTTTCAGGGAAGTGAAGAAACAGCTATGGGCCTCTAACGTGTTGGCTTACTATAATCACAAGTAAGATATGGTTTGGACATAAAATATCCCTCTGTACGGAATTGGCATAGTATTAGACAGTAAGTGGCCCAATGGCGAGGAACGCCCAATACAATATGCATCCACGACTTTAGTTAATACAGAGAAGGGTGGTTTGGTAGTCATATTTGGAGCCAGGAGTTGTTTCACTAATACTTTTACAAACGTACCATGCCATCCATCATCTAACGGTCTGGCAGAAAGAGAATTCCAAACTTTGAAGAAAGGCTTAAAGAAACAACCTACAGCCCGATTCCTAATTGATTAGAGGAGCTTAGTTGATGCAGATACATTATAGCTCCAGTAGAATTGCTGATCGGTAGAAGACTGTGCACCAAGTTAAATTTGATCTTCAAAGACTTGTTGGGGAGCGGGTTGGGATAAGGTGAAAATGCAACAGGATTGCCAATAGCAGACACAAGGCTGTATTAAGCACGAGGGATGGTTTACTTTTGGGGAAGAGATTTGCTGTATAAATCAAGTAACATGTAAAGTTTGGTGAGGTGCGTTAGTTCTCAACAAGCATGTGGACCATATGAAAGTTGCAAACTTGCAAATTGTATGGGAGCAAAATGAGTGCGGCTCGTCAAGAACCTTTCCAAATGCTCTGGAAACTGTAGTTTCTCCATTATCAACAAGTCATTAAGATAGCTTAGAATCTAGAATGGAAAGAGCGAAATTCGCCACCTCGACACCTTTGTCATGAAGAAGAGAATGAATTTGTTCCGAGACATTCTCAGTGCTAGATTCGAGCTACTGTACGTTACAAGTCAACAGTACCAGAGGCACAATTGGAGGAACTGGACCAAGTGCAAAAAGTCCTCAGGAGAAACTACAGAATAAAAACACCTGTATCCTTGGACTCAGACTGAGAGGGAGGTGCTGGCTGTAAGCAAGCCAATTGGCAGACCTCACAGAATATGATTTGCCTAATTGTTGTTGTTAATCTGTTCCAATCAGGGAGCCTTGACTGACAGACAAGAAGAGTTGTGTCAATTGTTCTGTTCACTCTGGAAGCTGGTTCTGAGGGAGCTGAATCAGTGTCAAGGACTCTTCAAATATACATAACGTGGGATGTGGTGGAAGGATACTGGCCTCTGTGGAGTTATTTCAGTAACCAGGGAAAGACACATCTGTTGTGACACATGCAATTTAATGGGGAATGCAGATGGACTATTAGACAAGAACATATAGGAACAGAATTAATCCATTCAGCACATATGCCATTCGACAGTGTTTGTGATGTTTCTGAGCCTCATTTTCCCACATCTCCCTGTAACTCTGGTTCACTCACTGATGTGGAACCTCTCTATCTCTGTCAAAAATGCACTAACCAACTTGGACTCCACAGTCCTCTATGGCAATTAGTTCCACAGATTCACCAAAGTCGAGCCAAAGAGTCTCCGACTCAACCAGTTCTCGATTGTTGTCCCTTCACTCTGAGGCTGCACTCTTGGTTCTTTTCCTACAGTGGAATTGTCTTCTCTACGCCTATTCTATCAAGACCTTTCAGTTTCCTTTAAGTTTAAATCAGGTTCGTTTCTCCTGATCCTTTTAAACTCCACTGAGTAGAGATCCAGAGTCCTCAATCATTCCTCATATGCAATGTCCTTTATCCCTGGGATCATTCTTGTGAACATCTTGTCGAACCCGCCCACCATCAGCGCCATCTAATCCTACATGTTAACTTGATGAGAATACTGTTTTTGGACTCGCAAACCCCTTCCTGCTTCAGATTTCTAATGCTTTTCTTCATTTTACGAAGCAGTTCACACCCTGTTTTCCTTCCAAAGTGCATATCCTCACTGTTTTCTACATTGTGATCCATTTGCCAGCTATTTGTCTATTCACCTCGTCTGCCCAAGTCCTTCTGCAGCCTGGTTGGTCAATCTGCACAAGCTGTCCCTCCGACCTTTCTGCAATCTGCAAACTTCGCAAAAATTATACTAAATTCATTCTTCCAGACAATTATAGTATAACGTGTATATTTATGTTTCCAACACTGAGCCCTGTAGACGTCTACGAGTCGCCAGCAGCCATCCTGAAAAAAGCACCTTCATCCCAAAGTCTTCCTCGCTCATATAACCAATACCTTGCTCCTGACATCGTGTGCTTTTAACTTATTTAGCAGCCTCCTGTGTAGCATCTTCCTGAAGGCCTTCTGGAAATCCAAAGAAATCATGTGCACTGGGACTCCTTCTTGAACTTGTCTGTTACCTTCTCAGAGAATTCGAACAGAATGTCAGGCATAACGTTCATTTGATGAGGTCATGCTGACCCAGCGCTATTTTACCATGCACTCCCAAGTACTATGCAATCTCCTCCTTAGCAATGGACTCAATCTTCTGAACAACGATCATGGTCAGACTGAGTGGCATATAATTTCCCATCTTTTATTCCCCTCCCTTTTAAAATAATTTTGTTACCTAGACATTTTCCAGTCTTCTGGAATTCTCCGTGACTCCAGCGATTCATGAAACTTGCCTCCAAAATCTCGTGAGTTATTTCCTTCAGTGTCTTTGGATGCAGGCCATCTGCTTCTTTTGATTTATCTACCTTCAGAAACTTTAGCTTCCCAGCACTCTTTTCCTAGTGATGTTCACGTGTCTCATCTTTATCCCCACAGACTTCCCAAATTATGAAATGCGACTGATGTATTTCACCATGAATACTGATTCAAAGTATATATTGAGTCACTCTGCCATTTCTTTCTGACTCATTACTACTTATCAGCCTCATTTTTCTGCAGTCAAATGTTCACTCTTGACCTTTTTTTCTAAATTCCGTGTGGCTGAAAACAGTGTTAGAACTTCTGTTGATTTTTCATTAACTTATTTTATTCTTTTTATCATTTTGGTTTGTAGCTCTCAACTGTGTGCTTTTTGCTGAAAGGTGACATTTCAAATATGAGTAGCAACTGTTCCCTTAACAAAAAAAGGAGAACAAAATATTGGTACTTGTTCTTCAGACCAGGCTTGTTAAAAAGTGCAACACAGATGCGTCCGCACACGAGCTGCCTGATGTTCAAGCATATAGCAGATGTTGAATGGTAATTGGTATTTGATGTTGAGGCAGATAATCTTTCAGAATAATTTGATTTAGTTTTTGGACTGTGCGTGTGGCAGAAAGTTAAAGGGTTTATGTTGAATTGTCAGTGGTTGTCCTCTAATCAGGAAATTATTGAAAGTTGAGAAAATGGAATCTCAGTTATCAGAATAATATCAACATTCATTGAAGCTTACTGGAACCTACTGACTTGGACTTGTGTCATCCGAAACCAAGCACAGTACAATCCCATGTACATGTGATGTTCCAGGTCATGGGCATTGCTGAATTCAATAGACTGGTTACATCTCATACATGTGTTTTGTTTTGATTTGTATGTCTCTCTGTAAGAGTTATTGTGTCAATTATATTGGATACTACATAAGACTTGGACAGTATTTAGATTGACTTGTTTTTATTTGACTTTTACTGTGTTAAATTTACTGCGTTGTTAACAAATTGTGAGGCCTTTCAAGTTAGATGAAGATCAAAAATTTTAGTCACTCTCAATGTCCAGTAGCGGTTATTCGAGAAGTCTAGTTTGGAAATATTGGAGTAAAATCTAATGGCGGTTGAATAGTTTAATTCAACTCTTTGTGGACCCAAGGATATGGAGGTTTATTTGACTTGGCGGCCAGTCTCCATATCATAAGATCTGGACAAAATTCCAAGTACAACTGCCAAATAGTACACAGATACAAGTAATAATTGGGGGGGGGGGCGGGGCCGGGGAAAGAACTGGTCTAGAAGCTGCTGGAAACAGTCCAAATTTTCAATCATTCTGTTCTGAGTATTTATGCTTTGTATTTCAGCAATGAAATTTCCAATATGCAATCCGATCTAATCAAAAATGTTACTAGACAGAAGATTGAATAACAAAGCCTCGGGTAACGTTTTTTCGATTTGTGTTCTCTGAGTGAATCCATTTTACAATCTTTTTCCATTTGCCTTACAGCGAACCTGATGACAATAGTGATTCTCTCCAGGGGAAACTGCGGCCTTTCTGCTTGCACCACTGCCTACATGGTGGCCATGGCAACAGCAGCTCTTCTGATCATGATCTTCAACATAACTGTACATCAAATTTTGAGTTTTCACTTTAAACATTCCTTCTTCTCCCACACTGTAACTTGTAAGTTTATTATCTACATGAGCTCAGTCAACATGTACATGGCAGTGTGGTTCACAGTCTTTTTTACATTTGATCGATATGTAGCTATATGTTGTGAGACACTAAAAACAAAATATTGTAAAGTGAAGACAGCAGCTGCAGTTACAATGACCACCACTACCCTGGTTTGCCTCGCGAACATGCCCTATTGGTTTGCATATGAACCTGAAAAGGTAATTGATCATTTACAATGGGGTTGTCGTACCAAGTTGAACTTCTTCACCTCTCCAGCAGGTGAAGCATTCTCCTGGTTGCAAAGCCTTTTAGTTGTTTGTGTTCCATTTGCGTTGATATTGTTATGCAATTGCTTAACAGTAAGACGTATTTTAGTAGCCAATAGAGCTCGCAGGGCTTTTCTGGGACGCAGTAATGAGTGTCAAAGAGACCCAGAAATGGAGAGTCGAAGGAATGCCATAATTTTACTCTTCACTATATCAGGCAGTTTTATTCTCCTGTGGCTGACTGCAGTTGTGAGCTATTTATCTTCAAAGATAACAAGCACTGCACATTATCGAGGTGATTATGCAGCTCCTGCCTACATTGCCACGCAAACTGGTTATATGCTCGTGCATTTGAGTTCGTGTACAAATGTGTGCATTTACGCAGCTACACAAAGTAAGTTCAGGCAAGAGCTGAAGAAAGCGTTGACGTCGCCCTGCTCCTGTATTCTGATGTCAGTTAATCGAAAAGAAAAGTGAAAAATATCATTATCTCCGTTTCCTCATATTCCTCTGTCTCAGAACTTCCTGACGTAGAGAACAAATCTCTTAAATTTTCATTTCTTCTCTTGAAATCTGAACAGATAATTAAAATATAATGAAAAGTGTGCAATTAGACACTCTTTTTTCATGCATGATACCATAAGACTTAATTGCCTCAATCAAAAATGTTAGAGTACTTCCAGATTTACAGTTTTCAGATTCTACGCTAATACTCTGAGGCACCCTGATGATCAGGTGTGGAATGTCTGCATTTTATTAGATCTCTGCGATGCTGCACATTCTCGCCATTTCGAACTAGGTGCAAACGTGACACATACACATTAATCAGCCAATGCATATTACACAGAATTATGATACTTGAAAGAAACTACTGCAAAGTGTGACACGAGCTCTGAAAAGTTAACATTCCTATGACAGGTGCAGGAAATAATTCGGAACTAAATATTTGTTGTGTAAAACGACCAGAATGCTGTGGACATTTGCTTCAAAATATTCAAAATACAATAAAGTAGATGTATCCATACGTCACGAAATTTAAATGCAATTAATTAACTTCAGCTCAATGGAATTTGAAGGGAAGCAACATTAACTAACAATGACTATGAAGAATGTTCTTCCAGGCTTCAGTTCACTGAAGCCCCGATCGTCACTGAGAAGGGGATGGTATTGAGAAATTCTCAACAGAAGACACAATGCCCAACCTCCCGAGTTCAGGGATGGACAGGACCCCCAGATTCGGTTTACAGAGCATGGGCACCTTGTGCATCTGCCTTCAGAGAGCATGCATCTTCCTAATTCAGGCAGCTGACAGTGCACATGCACTGAGGCAACGAGCCGTGCTCACTTTGCTGAATTGAGAAAAAGTACGCGTTTAGATTTCCAAGTTAACGGAATTGACAAAGATAAAAGTCTCAAGATGGAAAACTCACAGCAGTCCCTATCGCTAACAATATATCACTGATGTTTTAAGTGAAGGAGGAAGTTGTTGAGAGGGGGAAGGTTGTTGATAGACTGCAGGAGTACTGTGAATAGGATATGTGTCCAAAGGGGATCTTCTTAACTGCATGTTTAATTGATATAATGACCGTTTTAGGGACTTCAGCTATTACCAGGATAGAGCATGCTGTACAATGGGACGTGATTGCACGAAGCAAGGAGATTTCTAAATCTAGCGCAGTTTACGCAGTTCAGGGATTTAATTTAAGGAACTGGAGAACGTTACAGAGATCGTAATTTTTTTTATACTGCTTTGTAATTTTTGAATTTAGATTGCACAGACGGTATGAATTAAGGCTCTGGCAGAGTTTGCATAGAAAGCTAACCTTGAAACAAAGGACAAGAAAGGATAATATAAACGGTGTGTTATGGACGAAACAACTGCCCCTCAAAACGTATCGTGGAGATCACCCAGACCCTGCATTTTATCTTATTTGAAGGCAAGTGTGAATAACTGCATTTTAGATGTGATTTGATTCGACAAATATTAGGGTTTCAGCAAAACAGACATTATTATTACACAGCAGTTAAAATAAAATTAAAAAAAAAACAATTGGAATGAATTTAACTCTATCGAAATTCTGAACAATGTATTATATTGTTTAACTACGAGTGATCATCTCTTCCAATACTGCAACATCCCATTAACAAAACATTCGAAAAGGCAAATTTCGCAATGCAGGTTACCTTCATTTGCTATCTCCTCCAGCCCAGCAGTAGAGACATGGACAGAACGAACTTAGCAGCAGATAGAGAACTCAAGCTTTTGCAGCAATGGAGAGAAATAGAGAGAGAGATGTATCTAGCAGTTTCAAATAAAGAAAAACAACAACTGAAAGCAAAACTAAAACCCTGTGTCTGTATGAGCCTGTTTTCACATACAGAAAAGAACGAGATCAGACTTATATCGTCTATGGGAGAATGAAACAAAGCAACTTCAATAGATAAATGACTGTATTAAATATAGATGAGGAGATGAGGATTATACAGATATGAGGATTTTCAAGATGTTATTTGTTTGGAGGAGCTTAAGAACTCACTTAAGAAACGATAAGAATTCATTTTGAGGAACAGGAAGTTTATAAAGTGAGAAGAGCTGCAGATATAGCTGATGAATACTTATTGTGCAAACATCGAAATCTAGCTTCTGACAGCAATTTCATTCTGTGAGGGACAGAAATTGGCAAAGAGGAGGCTCCTTCAGTGAAGAACAAAAAGTAGATCAGATTACAACATGTGAAAAGACAAGAATATGAAGCGGGTGGCAAAGAGTGTAAAGATCTCAGGTGTTTTCGCTGCAATAAGGTGGGATGTACAAATTCACAGTGCTGATGGTTTAAGAAAGGCAGTGGGGAAAAGGACGTCATAAAAGTGGCAAAACCAGTGGGATTAGTTGAGGTGGTTAAGGAAATCACAAGAGAAGTCTAGGAGCTGCAGGAGAGTGCACAGCCTTGTCACAGCCTGGAAAGTAAGGTAGTGCCGATTTTTCAAAGATTTCACCTGTAGAACAGGGCAAGTGGATAAAAAAAAAACGTTAACATATTTAGAGATATTGGAGCTGGTCAATCTCTTATAGTAAGAGGTGAAAATATTTGCACTCCATATAAAATATTGCAAGAGAGAATGATAATCTGTAGAATAAATGTAGAGAGAATTAATGTTCCCCTATGTGAGATAAGGCTAGCAAGTCCAATCAAAACGAGGGAAATGATAGTGGAAGTGATTTTAAAAAAGGTTATTGCAGGAACACAGTTTGTTCTTGGAAACGATATTCCTGAATCAAGGTTGGAGAGATTCCCATTACAGTGGAAAAGCGAAACGTAGACCAGCGAACTGAGGAGTTAAAAGAAAAAAAAATTGGAAGATTTCCAGACTGCGTGGTGACAAGATTCCACTGCAAAAAGTTAAAACAAGGAGGGAAAACAAAAGAGAAAGATGAAGGAGTTGATATCCAGTTAGATGATACTTTATTTGACGAAATGATAAAGGGAAAAAAACACCTACGCAGATAGAGGATCAGGCAGAGGTGTTTAGTTCTGAAAAAATAGTGGAGTAACAACAAAAGGTGAGATGGTAAAGAATTTATATCATGAAGGCTGCACGGAAAAGGGAACAGAATGCATTCCAGAGTGGTATTTCCGGAAGTCTAAAATCTTAAAACGGAAATGGAGACCTTGGCAGGTTCGTGCGCACGAGAAATGGGTGGAAGGTCACCTGACTAGTTTGCCAGCAGAATATAGATGGGAAGTATTGTAGCAAGCACATAAATTACCTGTAAGAGATCATTTAGGAGTGAGGAAGATTCAGGCTAAAACGCAGAAGCATTCTTATTGGCCTCGACTACATAAAGATGTGGTTGAATTTTGCCACACGTGTCAGATGTTGGCAAAGCAACAAGCAGTAATTAGAACATTGGCTTCAATGCCCATTCCAGCATTTGAATGACTTTTTACAGGGATTATGATTGATTGTGTAGGGGCATTCCCTGAAGCCAAACTTGGGAATCAGAATTTGATAACCATGACGAATATGTCTGCTAGATTTCCAGAGGCAATTCCATTACGGGATGTCAAAGCAAAGTAAGTTGTAGAGGAGTTGCTTGCTTTCTTTACCCATTATGGATTAAGCAATGAGATTTAGTCACATTCTGGTTCTAATTTTTCTGCCAAATTATTTAAGGAGGCCATGGATAGTTTAGGCATCAAACATTTTATATCAAGTGCATATCATCCTGATTCCCAGGGAACCTTTAAAGATGACATCAGAACCTAAAGGCAATACTGAGGGCTTACTTTTAGGACTACCCAAGTATTTGGAATAATATTCATAATATTTGTTATTAGAAATGCTCCAAATTAATTGACTCAGTTTAGTCCATTTGAATTGCCATTCGAACACGAAGTCAGAGGTCATGAAAATTATTGAGGGAAAAATTGATAGGTCCAAAGTCAAAGATCTCACAGACCGAATGTGTTTCTGAGGTGAGAAATAGATTTAACAGAGAAGGTGCATTAGGTAATCAACATTTGAAGGTGGAACAGCACATAATGAACCAAGAAGCTGATAAGATATCTAAAATTCGTACGTTTTCCAGTGGATATAAAGAATTGTTGCTGTTACCACAAATCAATGTTAAGCAGTCTGTAGCAGGTTAAGAAGAAGTAAATCGGGTGAATTATCTGGTCAATATGCCAGATAGAAAAAAATAATTGGGTATTTCATATGAACATACTAATACCTTAATATGATAGGGAAAGGGGACCAGATAAATGGGTATTCGTATTATTCACTCAGAGTGAGGAATTAAATCCAGGCAATTCAGAGTTTGATGGGCCTCAGAATAAATTGAATAATGAGGAAGTCCTTCACGAATGCGGTAGGGTAGTAAGCTATCGGACACAGGAACTGAATTGAAGGACTTGTTATAGTGCAATGAGGACATATGCAGAAATAGAATTGGTCGGTCTAATACTCTAGTACATAAGGTAGAGGTAGGGAATGCTTTTCCGTTAAAACAACACCTTTACAGGTTTAATCCTCTCATGCAGCGCATGTTCAGAAGGAGTTGGAAGCTCCAAGAAGACGTGATAGAGCCAAGTCAAAACGATTGCGGTTTGCCAATTGTGTTGGTCCCCAAACCTGATGGTAATCAAGGATACTGCACAGATTAATAGAAGGTTGATGCTGTGACGAAATCTTACTCACACACAATTCCAAGTCTGGAGGACTGAGTGGAAAATCGAAGGACAAGCCACTTACATTGCAAAGGTGCACTTACTTCGCGATTACTGACAAGTACTCTTGTCAGAGAGAGAGAGCAAAATAAGTTCTTGCTTTTGTAACCACAAAAGCCAATATGAATTTAACATAATGGTCTTTGGAATGAAAAATACGCCAGCAAATTTTAGAAGACATATGAACAGAGATTTTGCAGGATTGACTAATTGTGCTGTCTACATAGAGGACTTTATGATGTTTAG